TATCGTATCGTAGAGGTGAGAATAATGGTTTGTATTCAGTAGTAGTCTAGTTCAATTTAATAAAAGATATAGACTGGATTCGTGTACGAGTAAATAAGTTTTTTTGAAACTTTATATTTAAGGAAAAGTGCAATAACTCAACAACGCCGTAACCGAATTTCAAAAACCAAACATGAAATGATATCAGAATTTAACGTAGCATCTGAATATGTAATGATATACAGGGCGTTCTATTTTAAAAAATGGAATTTTGGTCTGTAGCACCTACACCAAACACCCTGTATATTTAAAAATTATATCAAAATATAGCTCTCATGGACTCCTAAAACTTTTGTATGAAACATTTTTGTGTATCTCCTTCAACAAACCAGATATTGCCTGTCACATAAAATGTGGGACACCCGGTATAGGGTTTTCCAACAGGAACTGAAAGAAAATGACCATAGACAACAAGTGTGTTCGCTGAATTGGCTCTGGAGGCAACTGACCCTAATTTCCATCGAAAAATCATCTTCAGCGATGTAGCCAATTTATGGATAAATGGGTATGTGAACATAGAAAATTGTCGGAACTGGGACGATACCAATCCACATGAGATCCAAGAGCGTCTGATGCATCCCGAATAAGTCACTGTTGGGTGTGGATTTTGGACTGGCGGTGTCATCGGTCCATATTTCTTTGAGAACGACGTTGGTCAGGCCATCATTGTCAACGGCGATCACTATAAGTCAATGATTACCAACTTCCTTTGGCCTGAATTGGATGATCTGGACACCAAACACATGTAGTTGCAACAGGACGGCGCTACGTGTTACACAGCTCATGCCACATTGGATATTTTCCAAAATCGCAGGCGGATGCGAGTGGGTCAAAACCACAGAGGTTCTCAAAGCCAACATAACCCATACCATCGGTCGAGTTCAGCCTGATTTATACACCAGAGTCATGGAAAATTGGATGTTTCGGATGCGCTCCATCAGAGAAGCCGTGGCGGATTATTTGAACGATGGTATATTCCTCATATAGGTTTTTGAAACGAATAAAAAACTTATTTCATTCCAATTTACAAAATGAAACCTCTTAGGAATGATCCTATATCATGATTTGAAAATCAAAAGTAGAAATGTTCTGGAAATGAAAAAAAAATATGGGAAAAGACAATTGGGGAACTAGCCAAATGGCACACCCATGCTCAATCCCTAAAGAGATGGGATGGAATCAAAGTATGCAATCTTGTCAGGATTATCCTGGGCGACCCTGGAAAGCTGGCGCCGAAGAAATATCTGGCGATGACCCGGAAAAACTTACGCTCAACAATAGAATTTCTGACTGGACACTGTCAACTAAGGAAACACCTCCATGTTATGGGGCTAGTGGACACACCTCTATGTAGGATGTATGAACAGGAAGATGAAACTGTCAGGCATGTCCTATGCGAGTGTCCAGAGTTATCGTCAACAAGAGAGTGTGTGTTCGACGAGTATAAGCCGCCGAAATGAAGGAGCTGTCTCCTAGTGATCTGTACACCTTCCTGGAAAGGGCAGGATGGATGATGACCTAGTTGGACGACTCTTCGGAAGGATGTACAATGGGTCACATGTGGCATAAGTGCTGTGAGTCTACACTTACTCTCCTAACTCTACATATACAGACACAGATATGAAGGAAAATGTCGAATTGTCAGAAGTCTAAAACTCTTCTACGATCCTAAGGCAAAGCCTTAAACGTTGTTAATGTAAACTTCCGGTCCAATGAAACCTCTTACAGTGCCCTCTCCTCCAAAGGAGTCAGCAGTTTCAATACCTTCCAGGTCAGCGTGGCTAGAATCTAGACCAGACAACCAGACAGGATGAGATAGATTGAGAAGAGTATCAAAGACAATTTACTGCCACCTTGGCCATCGTTCATTGATTTATGTGTCAGGTTGTTTTCAATCTCTGTTGATTCACTGGCATATATTTCTGCTTGAAATACGGCCGTATAGGTGCCCAAGCAGGTTCATTATTCTGTCTTGGGTCTGCGATTGTATACACTGCATCCCAAGTTGGAGGTGTATTTGATTCATCTGCGAACCAACAGGTACCTAACAAGTAATAGTCTCGCAGATGTTTCTCCTTTATCCAGCAGCAGGACCATGCTGAAATTATTCAAGTAGATTCCCTGGAGACCGCGGCTTCTAGGTATTATCTATCGTTAGTATAGGACAGATCACACCCAGATAGCAAAGCCGAAAAGACATCCCATTTATTGAAACTCTTATACATTACTTTTCTTGAGTAGAAAGGACTGGATCCTCCGGAAGTAGGAGATATTAAGAGCAGATAGTTGTTGGTTCACAGATGGATCAAAAACGCCTGAAAAAAATTCAATTGGATAGTTGGTGGCTTCATCTTCATTTGTTACACAGTCAATTGATTTGAATGAATGCATTGTTCCAATGATATCATTCTGAATTATGTAGCTTAGGTCATCTACATCTTCATTCTTAGCCGCTAAAATTGCTCGCTCACTCAACCATTCATTATTTTTGTAGTTAGTAATTATGTTTGGGAATATTTTGCTGAAATGTTCGTCTTTCGATGAGACAAAATTACAGAAATTCTGAGGAAATGAAATCAATCCGCTCGATTCGTCGACCGGTACTCGACCATTACCGATAGTCAGCAATTGCTAAGAGAAATCTTCAGCAGATGTATCATCAAGCAATGCAACTCTCATGTTTGTTGTAAGCTGAAGTTTCTCCATATAGCGCCATAGATTCGATGATTTGAGGCAAGCGTTTATTTCGTCGGCAGCCATTGATCTTGGAATAATAGGCAATGTTTGGCGGAAATCGCGAGACAGTAAAATCATTGCACCTCCAAAACATCTGAGTCATTGCGTAGATCTTTCAATGTTCAGTTAGGTGCTTCTAATGCACGTGTGTGCGCCATTGTGCATTCGTCCCAAAGGATGAGTTTCGATGCTGATGAAACTTTGGCCATTTTGGAGTTTTTTGAAATATTACATTTTGATTCTTCAATAATTTGAAGATTAAACGGCGATTAAATGCCGTACGGCATCCTTCTAACAATGTGGCTGCTATTCCAGAAGAAGCAACTGCAAGCGCAATGTTGGATCTCTCACGAACAGTAATGACATCGGGAATGTCTTATCAGTTTCACCAGGGGCATCCAGGAAATATAAATCACCATTTCCATCATCAATTGACTTCATTAACCATTGACAACATAACGTTTAGCTGTCATTTACCTTTTTTTTATTCCATATAGATGCGTTTTTGCTATACCACGTTTTATAGTGACTTCTTGGTGACTTCACGGAAACGCGGTCGAACGGGATAAAAAGTATCCTATGTCTCTCTCCTTGTTCTAAGCTACCTGTCCACCAATTTTCAGCCAAATCGGTTCATCCGTTCTTGAGTAATGAATAGTGTAAATAACACCACTTTCTTTTATAGATTAGTAGAGGCTACTAGAATATGAGTTAGAATTAATTGTTGCACTGAATCGTAACATTTCAATAATTAGTTATTAGTTACGTTTATTAACATTTTTTGCTTCATTGTTAGTTGAATTGTGTGAATGTAATTTCGTTATTTTCATTGAAAATATTTACGCTATTTGTATTTTTTTCATCTGGCGGCACTTTATTGTTGAAATCATAAAAAAAAATGATTATTGTGACTGTTAGCTGTGTGAGTTTTCGAATTTTTGAGTTGTCATAACTTTGTTAATAATGAATATTTTTTCATGAAATTTTGGTCACACCTATTTAGAGGCACTCTGAATCCAGTGGCGTAGTGATTTTTTTCAATAAAAAAATCGCTAATAAAAAATCCCGATTTTCGACTAAGAAAAAATATCGTAGTATGCCCTGAAACTTCAATGAACATTTCAAATTTTGTCCCAAGGTAGACCTTTTAGTACTTGACATTTAAAAAAAATATATTAAAATCGATTAACAACTTCAAATTTTAGGGGGGTGTTTCCATTGAAAATGGGTCACACTGTGGATATTAAATTCACTTAGTGATATGGCTTATTGAATAAACGTATTATTACTATTATCAATTTTTCATTTTTTTGTCAATTTACAAACTAGAATAAGACGCTCCTCTAGCTACAAATTTTCACAATTCTAGCCGTTCTACTAACTATTTCAATTTAGTAACCTTTTTACAAAATGTTCCACAAAAGGTAATTTCAGAATTGAATAGGTGGCATTTTAGCAACATTGCCTTAAATTCCAAGAAGTTCACTTGAAGCGTTCCATTCCTATACAAAACGCAGTTCAATAAAAAAAGCGAGGGGAGAGAACTATACTTACATGCATATCTAACTTATCTATTTCAGAAAGAACCCAGCCAACTGAACCGTCTCCGCTACAAACTAATATTCGGAATGGATCAAAGTGTCTAAACAGTCTTAGGCCAAGGCGAGGGCCGGTTGAAATGAGATCGAACACTTGTGCGGGGTTGAGGAGTTGCTTGAATTTGCGCAAAAACTTCACACCTTGGTTATCACCTGAAAAAAGCAAGGAAGATCTATTTGGTCATTTTATTTCAAGTTTATTCATGGCAGGTCACAAATATTAGAAGCAGATTCCAAGAGAAAAACATGATGCTACCGAAATAATTGAATTTCACTAGTTGGGACTTCCATTGTCTACTATATAAAATGATTTGAAACACCTGAAACAACTTGAAAAGAAGAAGAATTAAAAATGAATAGCTGAAAATAACAATTATATGAAGCAAAAATAACCTGAAATGAAATAATAGTGAAATAAAATACAAGTAAAATTAAAACGATTGAACAAAAAGTAAAGAAATACAAATAAATATAAATAAAAAGTTAAGAGATGAAAAAACGAATCGTTCTCACGCAAGCTGTCATCTAAAAAAAATGATACTCACTGTTGCGAAAACAAGTGGAGTGGACCCGATATAATATACAATTTCAATGCCGAATAAACCAATAAGTTGTGACATGGGTATTCCATTTTTCTAAGAAAATGAACGATCTGAGCATAAAAATGGACAATAATTGAATATAAGATATATCTAAAAATCATTTTAAATATAATTTAACAAGCTGCATTTTCAAACGATTCTCGAAGGCGCATGAACCCTAATAAAATACATCAATTGTGCATTGTGCATCCTCGTCGCCACTTGTAATATCTGTCATCCATCTAAATGAAACACCTTCAAGGTTCATTCAATAACTATATTTTCCAATTTTAAAATACCAAATCACAGAGCCCTGTCCAAGGACGTCACAGATAACTTTTTATACAGTATTATAGTCCAGGCACATTCCTACTGACATTACACTATCCACTATAAATAAGAAATCAAACGTTACTGGTATTATAGTCGAAGTAACTGGTATTGTACATACTTAAAGTGTCGGCGTTCTCAAAGGCCAAAAAAAGAATACAGCGAAATAAAGCCGCTGCCAACTAGTTCACGTGAACTGAAGAATTGGCGGTTCGTATTGGATGATTTTTACTAACCAAGTGTTATGATGGACGGAAGAGTCATAAAATTAAATTTTTGGTCTGAATAATAGGAAAGCCTATCATCTTTCATTTCATTTTGGGGTTCCCTACACCTAACCTAAATAGTTTTTCAGATATTGTTTTTTTTTCAAATAAAAGTTCTTATCTCAATGTATTCTTTGAATCGAGATAGTTTTGAAACTACATTTATTCATTCTGTTGAAATAATTCTTATTATTGTGTTTTACGTTATTTAAAACATTAACTGAATTTTTACCGTTGAAAATGGAAACTTATCCCAATCAAGAGCGGATAGAAATGATTTTAGCTATTAGTGACTGTTAATAGAATTGTTTTTTGATATCGAGGGTGTATGACCAGAAATACCAAGGCCGGAATCATCCAAACCAGTTTGTTTTCAAACGATTGCTACATGAATTTCGTAGGACTGAAAGTCCTACGAAAGAGAACAAAAAAATGTTCACAAGCATTGAAGAGAAAAAGAACAAAACTGGCAACAAAAATGAGAAGATATATTTGTTATTGTTCATCATGCTTTAAATATTATGACTGTAAAAAAGACAAGTAGTTTTTATTAGCAATACGATAAATTAGGCGGGTTTTATGGGTTCAGTGGATAGAAACAGTTCAAACAAATGTGAAAAAATGAAAGAGAAAGAAGAACATCTTCAGAAATTGCTCGGACGTTAAAACAAAATTAACGGGTTTAACAGAAAAGTCGTCTTTTTCGTGGTCATCAACTGCCGCCAGTGAAAAAGCAACTTTATCTGATTTTGAAGGCATAAAAGAATTTTCGAAAACTCAGCCACATCACAAACAAGCTCGAAAAGATACTATTGACAACCAATCAGCTTCTAGTCTTGATGTCTCTAAATTGAGTGACATAAAATCAGTTGGAGCGAAAAACAGATAGAAATATGATTTGGCTCGCTTGTCATCACCAAATGATGTTGTCAGCTGTAGTCCTGATGTACAATTATCCAAAAGATTTAAGAACAATTGGAACACAATTGACCCAAGCGACTACAAAACAATAACAGATCACGCCGAAGCAAACATCCTTGAAGAAGTGACCGCAGACAGATTTGTTTTCCGGGAAATCAACTACAAATACATCAAGCTCCTTATGACCACAGGAAACTGTTGAATCTCACCATAATTTTCTTAGGAAGTGTTTCTGTAAAGGTCGTTTCATTTAGGAAAACTGCTGGTCTACATCGAGCTTGATTGATGGCAAGAGCCTTGTATTATTTTATCGAATAGTACACAACGGATGAACACCCGGAAAAACAACACATATCGCGGACACGTGTTTCTGGCTATTGGCCTTGTCAGCGCGGTGCATTTGTGGTTCCAGTTAGAAGACCTAGAATTCCCAGGCTACATCTAACATGACCACGTAGGCAGCTATAGCTGGTCATGTTAGATGTAGCCTAGGAATTCTAATGTGCGGTTGGCTTCTGTTGTTGACTCCGTGCGTATGTGTTGTTTCCTGCTTTCGGCAAACAAGTGTTGCCCATCTTTACACTTGGCTGCACCGCGCTGATGAGGCCAATAGCCAGAAACACGTGTCCGCGGTTTGCCCCCTTTTTTTTTTAGTGTTGTGTTCACGAATTATTTCGTTCTTGATTTGTATCATACACACTCGATAAAATCTCTATCTGTATTTATATCCTGGACCCGGATGTCACGCAGGTAGCTATAGCTGCCTACGTGGTCATGTTAGATGTAGCCTAGGAATTCTAGGTCTTCTAACTGGAACCACAAATTTGCGGTTGGCTTCTGTTTTTGACTCCGTGCGTATGTGTTGTTTCCTGCTTTCGGCAAACAAGTGTTGCCCATCNAAATTATACAAATATGAAAGTTATTGAGTGTCTTGATATAGAAACAGAAGTTAATATCGGACATAGCACTCATGAAAGTGGCAAACCATAAACACGTGTTTCGGGCTTTTGGCCCATCATCAGTATGGCGCAGCCGAACTTGAGGATGGGCAACACTTGGTTACCAAAAGATAGAAATACAAATGCACGGAGCCACCAACAGGAGCCAACCGCACATTTGTGGTTTCAGATGCACGGAGCCACCAACAGGAGCCAACCGCACATTTGTGGTTTCAGTTGATAGATCTCGTGTTCACAAGAAAACTATCAAAATCACCACGGAGGCAGCTATAGCTACCTGCGTGACATCCGGGGACACAACACTCCGAAAAGGGGGGCAAACTGCGGACACGTGTTTCTCGCTATTGCCCTCATCAGCAGCGCGGTGCAGCCAAGTGTAAAGATGGGCAACAGTTATTTGCCGAAAGCAGGAAACAACACAAACGCACGGAGTCAACCGCACATTTGTGGTTCCAGTTAAAAGACCAAGTATTCCCAGGCTACATCTAACATGACCACGTAGGCAGCTACCCTGCACGGCTGAATCTAAGGCATCGTCAGGTGTAGCTAACGTGCAAAAACCTTCATATGGGAAGATTGTCGTGGGTATCAAGGTGAGAATCTTGCAACTTGATTATCCGACTTCCTCACTAACAGAGCATATACTTTGTGCCTGCTCCTCTGAGGACCGAATCAGGTCTTTAGAGTTCGACAGAGCCGTACTCTTACCATCTGACCTGAAAGACCACTCACCATACAAACTAATCGGCTTCGTTAAGAAGCTGGGTTTGTTTGGCCGAGTGAGAATAGGTGTGAGCCACAATAAACCCTTGTGGGTTGCGGTGGAGGGTTGAATAGATCCACTCACTTTGGACCTAACCTAACCTAACCTACTTGATGAAGATCCATAGTAATTTAAAAAAACTACACCTCACGATTTGATCACCACAAACTTTTTTTGAAAAATATATCACATGTTTCGCTAAACAGTAGCGTTGTCAAATGATTTGAATCACTTTTCAATCTACTAAAATTTCAGAAGAATTTCTACTTTGAAATTTATGTTATTATCAGTGTCAAACAAAAAGTCATAATACGGTATAGCCGAAGTTTGTGGATATCAAATCGTGAGGTGTAGTTTTTGAAAAATTCATAGATTTCGTTGAGAAAATTGCCTTACTAGAACAAATCATCTTAAGGAACAATCGATTCAGGCTAGTCTCATCTCCCTACATTGTAGGTTAATGGACTGACATCTATCAGAAAACAATACTTCCCTGGCTACTATCACAAAGGACGTTGGATTATATCCGACAGGTGTCAGTGCAGGATTCTTCACTGAAGTTATTCCTGCATATGTTGTTGGCGATACAACTGACGTAATAGATTTTTAATCATTGGATATAATCCAACGCCCTTCGTGGTATTAGCCAAGGGAGTAGTTGTTTTCTGATAGGTGTCAATCCATCAACCTACATTTTAGGGAGTTGAGACTGGTCTAAATGAATTGTTCCTTCAGATGATTTGATTTATAGCCAATCTTCAAGTATGCCCACTATGTATATGAAAAACCTTACTAGAAGGTCAGATATTAACCATCTCAGGTCATGAGAAAATATTGAACATGACAATATTCGAGGAATTATGAATGTATTTTCTCCCTTTTTTTCGATTGTTCATTAGACATCAGTACAAATTATAACCTCATTTTTAAAAGTGGAATTTATGTGCTGGTCAAACCTCTACCTGAAGTCCTTTCAATACCCCGATACTTAAAAAAACAAAATATGTTCATTATTCAAAAACAATAGTTACTTTTATCGAAAAAATAATTCACTTTTATAATAGAAAGGTGAACTGTGCCCAATTTCATTTTCCACATGATTAACCCATAGTAGATGAAATAATACTGACAGCAACACTTGTAGAATCAATGTAATATTTGTCAGAATTAAAAATCTATACGTGGAGTATGGTGATTATATTTTAGTTGAGTTCCAGGCAGCTCTAGGGGTACTCTCAGGGTTAAACTGATGACCTTTCTCGTTTGTATTTTCATTGATAACCACTGTCATAAAAATGGAGTTATCTTTTTGGCAACGATCTAAAAATCTGAA